TAATGATATCAGTGGACGCGTAATACTTCTGGTGTCCGACGAATGGATTCTCAATCAAGTGTTTCGGTGTACTCTTTGCCGACGGTATGGATAGTGTGGTTGCCTTTTGATTGTTTGTTATATACGTAATGTTAGGGTTAGTGAGGGCTACGTCTGGGACCGCATATTCCGGGTCATTGAGCGATGAACTACGGGATGGACTGAAATCCTTCGGCTCGCAATACAGCGGAGAAGTGGCCAAATCCTAAGGCAAATGGAAATTAGTATTAATTGATTTGTGATAATTAATCGCTGATTATATCAAACCTTTATTGAATGGGAAACTTCGTGACCCATATGTCCCGTCTTATCCCTCCTCTTCATATGGAAACGAAGCAAAACAATACTAGCGGTGAAAATGATGGTAAATATGACACCAAAAGAGATCAAAACCAGGGATTCGCTGATCAGAGATCTGTTGCTGTTTATGGCGGCGGTTGTGATGGGAGTAATGGGCGGCACATAATCCAAATGAGCGTAATTTTCGGTAAAATTAATGTCAATTCTCGTCAGTTTGAACGACACTTCGCTTATAAGGATCCACTTCTTCGCAAACTTTAGCTCAAACTTAACAAAGCGTCCGATTCTGTGATGAAGATGTATGACTACATCCCTGGCCTTCTCGATCACATTGTCGGCCATATACGAGAACTCTACGGGTTTTTTGGACCAATACTTGCCGTCAAAACTGAACCACACTTTGGCCGAAGAGAACACTTCCATGTCTTGGGAGTAAATATTATGGCAATGAAAGACACCGGACGTGAAGTTCTCAGTCTTCGGGAATTGGAAAATGATTTGTACGGAACTGTTGGGCTCGCCGTCAGACTTCCATCCGATCCATTCGTATCCCTTATNGTATCCCTTATTAACCTTATAGTTGTCGTCACCTTTGATGCCATCAATCAACTGTCCGACGCCTCCGGACAGATACCTGTGCGCGTCCTGACGGCCGTCATATGTCATGTCAACCAAATCTCCAAACCTATCGCTTTCATATCCGTCTGGCATTGAATACATGACCGGAAGGTATCTTTGTTTGCAACCAAACACTTCCAGCCGAAGACAAGTAGTCCTCTGATGGCTGGCAAAGGGCACGATTCGGATCAGATTAATGCCAACCAATGGATGCGATAACTCGTGAGTTACCACAGTATATGTATCAGTATTTCCGGAAAGTTTCTAATAAATAAATGATTGACAAAAAACAAGCAATCAATATCTTAAGGGTCCGTATGAGTAGTCCATAACATACATGATCGCCATTCTGATCGGTCCACTTATGCCAAGTGCTTCCGTTATCGCGTGAATACTCAATCCAAAAGCCCTCCACGTATTCAACGCCCACTCCATTGCCAAACCGGCCCTGAATTGCAATACCGGTGACCACATACTGGTCCCGAAAGTTCACTTGAATCCATTCGGTGCCCGAAAGGGGTGCAGTCAGTTGTCTGGACGGACACCACGCGCCCGAAGACAGCTCCCGGTTTAGTCTAATAAATGGCAAATCAATTGTTTTTGTGACATAAGTATAAAATTGGTTTTCTTTGCAATTCTTTTCCATTTCCTTTTGACTATCAATTGATCTTAATTTACGAATCAAAACAAGTTCTTCAATACAAATAGCTTTTTAAATGTAAACTCAGTTTTAAATCGTTTTTTATTTGTTTCCCTTTTTCTTTGGTTCAATTGATTTTGAATGAGCTCTCTCTCTCTCTCTCTCTCTCTCTCTCTCTCTCATACAAAAAAATTAAATCCGTGAATGATTTTAAAGACTTTTATTTTTAATTTCTATTTTAATAATAAAAGTAATCTTTTATTTTCGTTCTGTATTTTAAAGTTTGTGTTTTTATAAAACTATTAAATATACAGTTATTTTTATACATACAGTAATACTCTTGAACACACGTTCAATGATTTTAATGTTTATCTCGATTATATTTCTCACTTTATCATTAATATCTGGAAATAGTGTATTAAATTGTAAATCATTTCTTTGATACTTTTTATACATTTATTGTTTTTTAAAATTGTTTTTGAAATTTATTTAATAAATCTTTTTTAAACTCATCTTATTTTTAATATTCTCTGATTTCCTTTTACTCGTAATGTGTTTACAGTTATTATTCCTATAGTGAGAGGCTATGAGTCGTGTAATTAAATTAATTTTGTGTAATTTATGGGAAATTTACGGTATTATAAATTAAATTCATTGTAAATAAAGACATATATTAAACATTTCCATTGAATTTTCCATAAACTTGACCTCAAATTGTGTGAAAAATTGACTTAAATCAACGATTTATCGCTGATTTTGTAATTACTTTTATATTTTTGTTTAACACATTGAAGTTGTGTTCAAATCAATCAATTATTTAAATATTTTTGTTTATAATTGATTGTATGGTCAGAGCGATGGCCTATATATTCACGACTGCTCTCAAAACTCGTGTAAAATTCCATATAATTAACAAAAATACTTGATTTACAAATTAAATAATGCAATTATTTCCATCAATGCTAATTATTATCACAAATTTAGTGCATTTTAACAACTTTTACATTTAATTAAAAATATTTTTGACCCCAAACTTTGCGCCTT